ATGACCCGCTCTTCTACAAAAGAGTTGGCGAATTACGATCCAGAAATTGAAAAATCTCTTCGATTGCGCAGGAAAGGACAAACATCATCTCCTCAAAGTATAGCTTGTGAAGAAATGGAGAACGAGAAACTTAATAACAACCAACTCCCGCCACATCAAGTAGAAGAATATTTTGATGAGGTAGCTCCACGACGTGACAGAATACTTAGAGATTATACAAGGCCAGATCATTTTGAAGGAGAATCAAGTGTAAGGAGACCACCAATTGTAGCAAACAACTTTGAAATCCGCACAGGCTTGATTGAAACCATTCAACAGTCATGTCAGTTTACTGGTGATGTGAGTGAAGATCCTCACACCCATTTAATTGATTTTCTTGAATTAGTTGAAACTTGCAGGTATAATGGAGTCACAACAGATGCTATTAGGTTGCGACTTTTTCCTTTTTCATTAAAAGGTGAAGCCAAAACATGGTTGCGAAGTCTACCAAGAGGTTCTATTACAACATGGGACCAAATGACCCAAAAATTTCTTAATAAATATTTTTCACCTGCAAAAACATTTAAAAAGAAGCAAGAAATCAATAATTTTATGCAGATGGATTCTGAATCTTTATACCAGGCATGGGAAAGATTAGCAGCAATGTTAAGAAAATGCCCACATATGGTATCCAAGACCCTGACATTTTATATATTTTCTATCACGGTCTTAAACCTTCTGCTAAAAATGTAATTGATGCAGCATCAAGAGGATCAATAATGGGAAAAACTACTGTAGAAGCAATGCAATTGCTAAATGAGATTTCGGAAAATGTTGTTCAATGGCCCTCAGACAGAATGATTATCAAGAAAACAACAGGAGTAAATCAAGTTGAAGCTTTGAATTCATTGACACAACAAATAGCGACCTTAACACAAAAAGTTGACGCTTTTCAGGTAAGTGCTCACACATCATCTCAATTTGAGAATTTTGATGTTTGTCAAGGTAATCATCCAAATCATGAATGTCAAGCTTCAACACAAAATGAGGAACAAGTAAATGTGATTGGTTATAGAAATAATTACTCATTTGGTAGTCCCATGGCACAAAAACATCCAGGTTTTCAATGGAGTAATCCTAACGGTGCTGAAAATCCTCAAAGATTTTTTAATCAAAAGCAGCAGGTACAGGGACCACCTGGTTTTCAAAATCAAAATAGAGGGCAACAAAGTTTTCAACAATATCAGCAGCAGCCTCAAAGAGCTCATCAACAAAGCCTTGAAGATTTGATGTACAAATTCATTAAAGGTACTGACGAGAAGGTTGAAAGTCAACATCAGGTAAGCCAATTAGCGACCCTCATGTTTGGAAAAATTCAAGGTGCTCTACCAAGCAACACTGAGAAAAACCCAAAAGAACAACTCAAAGTCATCTCTCTACGATCAGGTAAATCTCTTGATGATCCATATACAGATAGAGAAGGAAAACCACAAGAAGTGTAAAAGGTAAATGAAGGTGAGAATAAAATAGAATCTAAGTTTCAAAAAGAACAAAAGAATAAAGGGAAAATGTACAAGAAAATGAATGGATAACAAATCCTCACTCTGTACCTCTCTCTTTTCCCCAAAAGATGAAAAGAGAAAAGCTTGACAAACAGTTTTCAAAGTTTCTAGATATTTTGAAGCAACTTTACATTAACATACCTTTCACAAATGCTTTGACACAAATGCCTTCATATGCTAAACTTCTCAAAGAAATTTTGTCAAGTAAAAGAAAATTGGAAGAAGTTTCAGTGGTTAAGCTTACGGAAAAATGTAGTGCTATACTTCAAAATAAGCTCCCTCAGAAACTTGGTGATCCGGGAAGTTTTACAATTCCTTGTACCGTGGGAGGTACTCACTTTGAAAAGGCATTATTTGATTCAGGTGCTTCAATAAATCTAATGCCTTTTTCAATTTTCAGGAAATTAGAACTTCGTGAAATAAAAGATACTGGAGTGTCTCTTCAATTAGCGATCAAAGTACTAAGAAACCGAAAGGAATTATTTAAAATATCCTTGTCAGAGTTGACAAAATTGTATTTCCAGTAGATTTTATAGTGCTTGAAATGGAAGAAAACACTAAGGTACCATTAATTTTAGGCAGACCATTTCCTGTAATAGGAAGAGCAATAATTGATGTCCATCAAGGACAATTAATTTTGCGAGTTGATGAGGAAAGAGTGATTTTTGACATGCAAAAAATGATGAAATTTCCCGGGGATGAGTCATCATCATCTTGTTTTCACATTGACTTACTAGATGACCTTGTAGACGAATACAAAGATAATCAGTTAATCACTGATTCATTGGAGAGATGTTTGGCTAGGTCAGGTACCATAAGTGATAATAACCCCGTAATTAGAGAACAAGCTGAAATTCTAGAAAAAGAGTCAGAAAATGAGAAAGTCTCATAAGAAGGAGTTCAATTAAAAATTGAACTCAAAGAACTTCCTTCTCATTTAACATATGTGTTTCTTGAACCTGAATTATTTCCAGTAATCATTTCATCTTCTTTGACTATAGAACAGGAAAGCAAACTGATTGGAGTCCTGAGAAAACACAAAACAGCTTTAGGGTGGACTATATCTGATATCAAAGGAACCAGTCCAGCTATTTGTATGCACAGGATTCTTATGGAGAATGATTATAAGCCAATAGTCCAACCCCAAAGGAGACTAAACCCAGCAATGCAGGAAGTCGTCAAGAAAGAAGTGGTGAAACTTCTAGCAGCAGGTATCATTTATCCAATATCTGACAGTCCATGGGTATGTCCTGTACAAGTAGTACCAAAGAAAGGAGGTATGACAGTAATAAAAAATGAAAATAATGAACTCATACCTACTAGAACAGTCATAGGATGGAGAGTCTGTATTGATTACAGACGACTTAACGATGCCACAAGGAAAGATCATTTTCCTTTGCCCTTTATTGATCAAATGCTTGAAAGAGTTGCATGCCATGGTTTTTACTGTTTTCTTGACGGATATTCTGGTATAATCAGATACCAATTGCTCCAGAAGATCAAGAGAAAACCACATTCACATGCCCTCATGGTACGTATGCTTACCGAAGAATGCCATTTGGACTATGCAATGCTCCTGCTACATTTCAGCGTAGTATGTCGGCAATTTTCTCAGATATGACTGAAAAGTTTCTTGAAATATTTATGGATGATTTCACACTTTTTGGTAAGACATTTGAAGATTGTCTCTATCATTTAACTCTGGTGCTTAAAAGATGTGAAGAAATAAATTTAGTTCTTAATTGGGAAAAATATCATTTCATGGTAACAGAGGGAATTATTTTAGGACATAAAATTTCTGCTAAAGGGATAGAAGTTGATAAGGCTAAGATTGATCTTATAGCAGGATTACCCCCTCCTACCACTATTAAAGGAATTAGAAGTTTCTTAGGGCATGCAGGTTTTTATAGAAGGTTTATAAAAGATTTTTCAAAAATCTCAAAACCTCTGACTAACCTACTGATGAAAGATGTGAAGTTTGAATTTTTAGATAATTGTAGGAAAGCATTGAGATTCTCAAGAAACAATTGACTACTGCTCCAATTGTTGTTTCTCCTGATTGGAGCGAACCATTTGAAATAATGTGTGATGCAAGTGATATAGCAGTTGGAGCGATATTGGGACAAAAGAGAGACAAGATTTTCAGGCCTATTTACTACGCCAGTAGAACCTTCAATGAAGCTCAAAAGAATTATGCTACAACTGAGAAGGAACTACTAGCAGTAGTACTTGCGTTTGACAAATTTTGTTCCTATTTGATAGGAACAAAGGTCACAATTTATACTGATCATGCAGCTAAAAAGTACCTCTTAGCAAAGAAAGATTGTAACGACCCGACCGGTCGTTTTGAGTCCTAGCGCTCCGTTCAGCAGTCGCAAGCCATGAACATCTTCATTTCAGGCATTATGACTTGTACGCGTGGTTGGAATTAAGTTTCGGGAAGTTCAAAGTTGATTTAGAAAGAGAATTCTCATTTCAGAAGCTTAAAGTTGAAAGAATGAGCTAAGATTGGATTTTTAAGTAAATGACCTCGGAATCAGGATCTGAAGGTTCCAGAAGGTTCGTATGATGATCTCGGACTTCGGCGTATGCCCGTTTCGGGTTTTGGATAGCCCGGGAGTGTTTTGGCGCCTATTGTGGAAGTTAGCATTTTAGAAGAAATTTCTTAAGTTTGGCTTGAAGTGCATATCAGTGTTGTCGATATCCGTTTGGGATTCCGAGACTACGAATAGCTCCGTATGGTGATTCTGGAGTTGGGGGCGCGATCGGAAGTGAATTCGGTGGTCCGTAGGTCATTTTGGAGCCATTTGGCTAAAGATAGAAATTTGAAGGTTTTTGTGAAGTTTGACCGGGAGTGGACTTTTTGATATCGGGGTCGGAATCTGATTCCGGAAGTTGCAGTAGGTCCGTAATGTCAAATATGACTTGTGTGCAAACTTTGAGGTCAATCGGACATGATTTGATAGGTTCAAACATCGGAAGTAGAAGTTGGAAAGTTCAAAGTTAATAAAGCTTGAATCGGGGTGTAATTCATGGTTTAGCGTTGTTTGATATGATTTGAGGCCTTGAGCAAGTCCGTAATGTGTTTTGGGACTGGTTGGTATGATTGGTTGGGGTCCCGGGGGCCTCGGGTGGATTCCGGGTGATTAACGGATCAAAAATGGAATTTTGGGAGGCTGAAGTTGCTGGTTGCTGGTATTTCCGCTTCTGCGGAATAGGGACCGCAGAAGCGGCCCCGCAGAAGCGAAAATTTAACCGCAGAAGCGGTTGGGACCAAAAAGGGAGAGGACCGCAGATGCGGTCGAGTAGCCGCAGAAGAGGTACCGCACCTGCGGTCGAAGCAACGTAGAAGAGAGAAAGAGGGGCTTGTGAAGGAGCCGCAGAAGCGGCCTTTTGACCGCATAAGCGGAACCGCTGATGCGGTATGGGTTCTGCAGAAGCGAAAAGACCTGGAGGCAGAAAGGTTGATTTAAGTCGTGGGTTGAGTTCATTTCTCCCATTTCTTCACGGCTTGGGCGATTTTTGGGGAGCTTCAGGAGAGGATTTTTGTCGTCATGGTTAAGGTAAGTTATCCCCATCACTTTTGAGTTAAATACATCAATTATGTGTGGATTTAGGCATGAAAACTAGTGTAAATTTAAGGTTTTGGTTGAAAACCTAGAAAATTATAATCTTGGATTTTGACCACGATGTTGAGTATGGAATTTAGTAAAAAATATATATTTGAGTTCCTAAGGTCATGGGTAATCTTTATCTTCGAGAAATTTCGGATTCCGGGCACGTGGGCCCGAGGGCATTTTGGTCATTTCACTAGGCGGAGTTGGGAATTGTATAATTTGAACTGTTAATAAGAATTTCAGTATGTTCTCATTAGTTTGTCGATTAATTGGCTAGTTTTGGTGCATTGTGCGTCGGTTCAAGCCTTCGGAAGAATGTAGAGTGTCGGCTATGAGTGTTCGGAGCGAGGTGAGTCTCCTTTCTAACCTTGTGAGGGGGAAATGTCCCCATAGGTGAATTAATTGGTTATATGCTCCTAATTGTGGGGGCTACATACGCACGAGGTGACGAGAGTCCGTGCGTAGCTACTATTATGCCATTGTCCGGGTAGTCTAGGACCCGAAAGCATGTTATACTTGAAATAATTGAAATCTTGTGGATAGTTGAATTGTTTAAGCTATATCAAATTGGTAAATGAATTTCGAACAAGATCTAAACCTCATTTCCTTAAATTGTTAAAAGAGAATTGTTTTTCCTTGAATAATTGCCCCATGTTGGCTTTTTGACTGAGTGTCTCTATGTGTTTATTTTATGTTGACCGCGTCGCATGATTAATTCGCAAGCGGGGAAATAGATGCATCTATAGGCGAGTCGTCGACCCTCGGCAAGTGCACATTTCTTTTCTGTTGGAGCGGGCCGTCGCCTCGGCATGATTTGCGCATGATATTTGTGTATATTGATGCATGAGAATTTTAAATAAAGATATTGCCTTTCATGGCTTGGGATGAATTGATTAAAATAAAGAAAGGTAAATTCTTGAAAATCCTTGTTAATTGTTAAAAGGTGTTTACTCGCTTTATAGCTTTGTGAATTAAAACTTGCCATATGAATTCATGACTTTCTCACACATTTAGTGTGTTATTATTATTGGACTGCTAGTGAGTGTCCAGGTTGACCATCTCGTCTCTACCCCTTCGAGGTTAGGCGGGATACTCACTGAGTACACGTTGATTACGTACTCATACTACACTTCTGTGCATTTTTGTTGCACAGGTATATTTTACATTAGATAGCAGCACGGATGATTCGGGGACTAGGTGAGCTGCATTGTTCGAGGCGACCCGCAGCTAGTGTAGTTCCCTTCCAGTACTTTATTTATTTATTCCCTGTCAACTGTATTTCGGACAGACATTGTATTTTATTTTCCTTATCAGTAGTTGCTC